AGCTATTAGTGAAGCTTAACTGTCATACGTATGTCATTATAATGTAAAAAAGTATTATGAGCAAAATTAATATATTTTCCTCTCTAAAATATTTAACCAATAATCGAACAAGTCATAATGAATACGAAAAGAGGTTTCTTTCTCCGTTTTCATCAGAGGAAATGAAAAATATTAAAGTTGTTTAATGTCTAGCCTCTAATTCAGTATGAGTATTATATTTGTTTATTGCTTTCCTAATCGTAGATCAGAATTCCAACATGGTTTGGTCCATATTTTTGTTGTAGCATCCTTTCAATAAATCGAAGATTTTTGATTCCGTTTTCACCACTCGATCCTGTTGTCATGGCGATCTAGATAAATGCGCCCTGTCTGAAGTCTTCTGTCATAGTTGTGATAATTTTCGGCATAGGACCATAGGTTTGGTACATTCCCAGATGTTTCGATGGCATTATAGTCGGTTTCATGAATTTGTTATGCTATTCTTGGCACCAGGCTACAATTCATCAGAGACAAGTGAAGTTTATCCCTTATTTTGTACAAGGTGTTGCTCGGCGCAGAAGGTCTTAAGTTTCATTGTAAATGGAGGAAAGACGTCTATGAATCATCATGACTACTATGACTGAGGATTTCGTACAAGGCTCATTTATCTAGTTAGCCCTAGCAGCAAGATTGTCGCAAAACGAGGTCATTCAATTTCTCTCTGGTTCTTAGTTTATATATACCAAATTAAATTTCTTGTTCTTGATTAGTTTCTACAGATTAACCAATGCAAAAGTAATTGTTTTTTACCAATCATTATTTAATAAGAATATTCTTTGAATGTAAGCATTGACCAAAGTATTATTTACTTTTAAAACAGCTTGCATTTATCGAAGAGGTTATCGTTCCTCGCAGTGATAATATAACAGAAAAAGATGAAAAACTACGAGATCAATCAACTGGGAATCAGAAAATTCACTCAACCTGCGCGACATTTCCAGTTGACTGTGTCAATATGCCAGCTACTACCGGAGAAAGATGGACAGACATAGTATCGACTAGAGTTGAAGATCAGGTACTTCAGCTGGCAGCAGAAGTTGGTCGAACGGATTTGGATCGTGAGAACACAAGAGCTTCAACCATAAATGCACTTTACGGACGCTTTAATAAGTCGCTGATCCCCAATATTACATCGCGTAATTGTGGTAATGAAGGTGACATATAGGC